TGATGTGTTTACTTTTTAGGCTTTGTGCATTAAATGAAAGGCATTTTAGGAGACGATCGTTGGTGGAAGGGCCGGGATTAACAGACACGTCCCCGCCTCTGAGAAGAAGCTGCCGCGATGCGGACGAGTTGGGATAGTAAAGACACGGAGCACGCTTTTTCTTGATCTTCATGTGGTAAAAGCGGGAATCTTTCAGCGGCAGATGGAATAAATGTCTAGAGTAAAGAGGAATGCCGTGATGAATTGAGCGGCAACCAACAATGCCGCGATGGACAATACCTCCAAACGACCAGATCAACGATGACAATAGCTCATCAAGTACGGAATTTGTCCCATTGTTCATATGCAAAATGGTTGGAAAACCACGACGCACAGTTGGAAAAGAGCAAGAAATAAATGTTGAATTTTCTGCAAATACTGTTGAAGTTCCAGCCACTAGACCCGCTACAGGAGCTGTCCAGGATCTTAGCCATATTCGTCTGTGATGTAGACTGCCGAAGGACCAAAAAGATAAGAGAAAAATAACAAAAACAGCAGAGCTAAAAAAACTTGAACCAGTGCGAATCATCACTCATGCATTATTCGATAGCGGGGAAGCGTGCTGGAAGGTCGAATAAAAAAAAATCAACGGTAAATGGTCTTAGGATTCATTAAATATTCAAAATGCCACTTCAACGTTACAAATCTGTGAATCACGCCCTTTAGGTGTTAATGTGAACATCTTAATTTGTATTCGTCTGGATCCATTGAGGTTTAGGTTATCGACCGTTGTCCTTTTGGATTTTTGCCTTTTGAATTCTCGATCTATTTGTAACAAGTCTCGGCCGATGAATGATTTCATAGCTGATCACAATATCGACCTCTTTGCCCTGTCAGAGACGTGGCTTCGTGGTGATGATTCGGATTTATAATATATCCGTGACATTTGTCCAGGCGGATATGTTTTCCACCATGTCCCTCGTTTACATACTACTGGTGGCGGGGTTGGCATTGTTCTTAAGAATAAATATCAAGGCCAAAATTCTAGCACATGAGTCGTATTGCTCTTTCGAACATCTTGAGCTGGAACTCAGGGCTACAAAGTGTTTTGTCCGTTTAATTGTCTTGTACCGTCCTCCTTCATCCGATGTGTCACTATTTTTTGATGACTTTTCCGGGTTCTGTCCTGGTGTACCGGTTCACAAGGGAATTACCATTGTTCTTTCTTTGTTTAGGAGTCATTGATTAGCTGTTGTGTATTGTTCGGTCTTTTGTATCGGCTCTCGTGAACCGGTACACGAGGACAGAACCCTTTTCCGGCTATCTTGCCTATATAGTAACGGCATCAGGCCATTTGCTGATTGTTGGTGAGTTCAACTTTCATGTTGATTCTCAAAATAATGCTGGCCGGCGATTTACTGGCGTTCTTCATTCACTTAACCTTTGCCAGCATGTAAATGATTCTACCCATAAGAATGGCCATACTCTTGACCTCGTTATCACTAGAGAGGAACAATCTTTCGTCAAGAATCTCTTTGTTTTTGATCCTGCACTTTGTGATCATTTTATGATCCAGTGTATTCTGGATTTTTGTAAACCTGTTGCTCAAGATCAAATGTTATCTCTTCGACGTTTACGTGCCATTGACAGGGATAAGTTCTCCTCTGACCTGGAGGACTCCACGCTAATTAGATCACCTCTAAATGATCACCTTTCGTTAGCTATTGATCAATTCAACTCCACTCTTCAATCTAAATCGACAATCATGCCCCAATCATTCGTAGGTCTGTTACTCTTCGCCCTTATCCGTCATGGTTTACGGATGAAATTAAAGTTGCAAAGAGAAACAGAAGAAAACTAGAAAGACAATGGCGCGCGTAAAACACCGAAGCTAATCATCTATTATACACCAAACATCGTTGTGAGGTGAATGACTTGATTCGTTGTGCAAAAGAGAACCACTTTTAATCTATAATTGAAAGCAACTGAGGAAACCAGAAAATATTATTTCAAGCAGTTTTAATTGCAAATCAAAGTTAAAA